TTAACCTCAACATATTTTTGGACTGTGTGGGAGGAAGCTGGAGAACCTGGAGAGAACCCACGCTGCACGGGGAGAACATGCAAACTCCACACAGAAAGATCCCAGGCATCCTCACTGGTAATACCTTTTAAAATAACTAAATACATTAATAACACATACTCAAATGCTGATTGTAGATTTTAGTCATTTTTGTTTTTAAGCATTTATAGCAACAATAATAATAATCCATTGTTAGTTTATTCAGTGGCCCCTGGCTTCCTGTCATTTTGCTGAAGTGGCCCTGGCATCAAACACGTTGAGTATCTTTGCTTTGAAGTCACACTGGCTGCTCTGTGAGGTCATATTTAGTCACAACAGGGCTTTGAGTTACATATCAGAGCAACATGCTCAGAATTACAATACGAACACGCTGCTGTTGAATGGGTGTATTATGTACTGTGTTTGGTATTGTAGTTCAGCTCATGAAAAAGCCACGTGGTTTATGAGAATGTCAATACTTTTTGGATAAACCAAAGTATTGCACAAATTAAAAAAACTGAAATGAGGATGTCGCCAGCTAGAAAAGTCAACATCTCTGAGACATTTGACAAAAAACAAAGCATGAATTCATGGGGATACTAAAAGAGGAATCAGCAATGTGATTACAAAAGCTCCTGCAGGTAAATTGGAATATAATAGATTTGATGGTAATCCATATTAGGCTCCAACTGTTTTATTTTCAGTATAAAATCCATCAGTGACCCCACAGAGCAGAGTGACGTCTTCAGCTGCCCTGCTTTGATATTCAGTTTTCTTAAACACCAAATACTATATTTGAGAAGTTAGAAACCCAAAATGTCATTTTGACATTGAAAAGTTAGTTATTTAACCAAAACATGGATATATTTGATATTTTCTGTTGGTTTACTGACAAATAATTGCTGAGCTGTGCTTCTCGTTTGGCAGTAATCAGCAAGTCTTAGCATGACGATATGCTGAACGCCATGGGAGTTTTTTCTGCTCATACAAATACAGTGAAAACAATGAGTCTGACTTATCTTATTCTACAGAAATCTATGTAATTATGCTTTGGTAAATAGAACCAACTGACAAAACTGTAAAGAAAGAAAAAACACAACTTATTAGGGTCCGAGCACACCAATGCAAGGACCCTATTGTAACCGTTG